CCTCAACCGCCGCCGCCCGATCGCTTACGTGTGTGACGTATATTTACCCCCACTACCGACGCCGCCGCCCGTTCAGGAACGTAACTAACATATATTACTATCTATACAACATCTGATGTGTTATCAGATACGTTATCATCTCATTATCAAGTTATCACTATCGTACACTCAGAGATTTTAAATAACCTAGATAACTAACTATCAATATTGCCTATCACATAATCTGAATCCAGCTGTTGTCAACGTCCGCCATTTGTAAAGAGGTCAAATTATGCCGCTGGGTATAGTAAAACATATAGTAGCTGATTTTTTTTTATTATTTAGATTAAATCATACAAATTATAAAATATACATTATACAAATTATACAATATACATATACATTATACAAATAATAAATTATTGGTTTAAAAACAACACAAGTTTATTGAATTTATTTCTTTTACTAGTGAAATTTATAGCCAAAGAATGATTTTTTGCAAATGCATGAAATCTTATTTTTAAGTACATGCTAACAACTAATTTAATTAGTTCTAATTTATGTGGACTTGCCAACATATTTTCAGCTTCACAATCTAATTCACCAAATATTTGAGAATTCTGAGAAAAATAGTTTTTAACTAATATTATGATTTTTGTTGATATATTTTTAATATTCATATTTCCTAAGTTATTAGTTAAAATAAAAAATCTTTTCTCAGTCTCTTTAATTATTTCAAAAACACTAGATGATGCAGAAACTAAACCACCATAATTTTTTATACTAACAAATTTTGTATAAACATCATTATGAATAATAGCTATGATCTGTTTGTTTTTTTAATAAGCTTTTTTTGCAGGAAATACAGAAGACTTTTTGTGAAATTGTTCTTACAACAAAACCTGCTATATAATATAATATATTTAATTTTTGATCATATAAATTAGAACTATCATTATTCATAATTGATATTTTATTTAATAACATCTCATCACCTAGCTCATCATAATTGTTTTCTATACTCTCAATGCCTTGATCACTTACATCTGACTCAGTGAGGTGTATCTTTTTCTGTGCCCACTTAATCTCAAAAATGTTGCCAACAGGATCGTCATCTAGAGCAATACTATTTGCACTTGGTGAAGGGGTAATGCTATTTTTTAAAATTATTTGTTTCATAGCAATTTTAAATTGGAGTACATTTGGGTTGTTATTTAGGCCATACCTTTTTCTTATACGAGAGAATAATAATTCTATATGATCCTGCAAAAAACGGTAAGTCAAGATATATTTAAAAAATTTATTATTAGGCAATAATTCTTTAGCAACAGAAAATACAGAAATTACAGCAATAGCTGTTAGTCCAATAATAAATGTTTTTTTTTACCTACATACAAATGATTATCATTTTGATCAGTTAATATAAATAAATACTGTATCAATCGTAATATGATGGGTGTGGCAAAGTTATTGTACTTCTAAAACAAATAATACAAAAAAAAAACAAGTATTACTTATTATGAATTATGAAATAAATAAATATTGTTAAAGTACTTTTTACCAATATACCAGTATAAATTAACCATTGTATAATTCATATAAGCATAATACAAGCATAAAAATATATAGGGTTGTGATTGTTTTTAAATATTAGGTACTTAAAATAATAAGAAAGCAAAAAATAGCGTGTATTTACCTACAAAAATTATAAGCCTTAGGAGAATTATAATGCAATGTTAAAGCAAACCGTTTCAACTCATCAGTATATCTACGTCCATGCGGAAGCTTTTTAGCATTTTTAAGCTGGTTTTTAAAAAGTTCTAATGTCATACCATCAAATTGATCAAGTAATACATTTTCTACTGAATCATCAACAAAACCTTTCTTCTTTAATGATATTGTTAAATATTTCAAATTTGATATTTTTAACTGTTGCCTCCTAACTTTTTGTTGTAAAATTTTTACTTTGTGTCTCAAAGCAATAACACTGTGATCTAGAAGCTTTTCTTCAGTTTGAACACTTTTATCAATTTTAAGATTTTGATTTTCAATTGATACACTTGAACAAATTTCAACTTCAGTGTTATTTTCATTAGATGATGACATAACTTGATGGTTCTCATTACTTCTCAATACAGTGACTTCTTTTGGTATTGTACGTTGAACTATACGTCTAGGCTTTTTGGGAATTGGTTGGTAATATGAAGGCATAGCAGGGAATAATGTCGGAACAGCATCTGGTTTTAAATGTTTTTTGTATGTACCAGGTCTATCTAAAATGTCACTAGATAAAAAATGTTCACTACAAATTTTGGAATATTGTGAAGGAGTAAATTG